TACGCATAAAAATCAATGACTGGTTATCAGTCCATATAATAGTTGGAAAACCTAAAATATAATTTCTAAATTTTTGACACGCAAATACTACAGCTAATGCTTCTTGTTCCGTAGTTGTATAATTTTTTTCAGCATTATTTAACAACCTACTTGCAAAAACTAGTGTCCTATGTTCCCCATTCTCACCTATTTGATAAAGTTCTGCCCCAATAGCTACTGATGAAGCGTCCGTCGCTATATGAAACCTTTCATGATAATTAGGAAAATACAAAATTACTTCTTCTAAAAACGCTTTTTTCGATTTATCAAATGCCTCTTGTTGTTGCTTATCCCACACCCATTTCACATTTTCTCGAGTTAAGTTACTTAATGGTGATATTAAATGTGAATGATTATTAATAAAACGTCGATAAAAATTAAGAAATCCCAAATATTTTTGCACCTCTTTTTTATTACTTGGTTCTCTAAATTGTTGTACGGCTGTAATTTTATCTTGGTCCATTTTAATTATACCTTCCGTTGATATTATATGGCCTAAAAACTTTACTTCTTGTACGAAAAATTTTGATTTTTTATAATTTAAGGTCATATTATATTTTTTAAAACGGTAAAAAACGTTACTCAAATGTTTTATATGTTCATCAAACGTATTTGAAGCTACAAAAATATCATCCACATATATAAATACGTATCCTGCTTCTATAAGGGGTTCTAGTACTATATATAAACTTTTTTGGAATTCAGATTCAGAAATGTTTAGACCGAAAGGTATAACTTTAAAATGATAATTTCTACCCAAAAACAGAAAAGCGGTTGGTTCCCGACAGGAAAAACGTTAAAGAAAAAGTAAAAAAGTTAAAGAAAAACGTACGATTTCCGTGAAAAAATTCTCGATTTTATATTTTATATTATTTAATTTANCGTACGATTTCCGTGAAAAAAATCTCGATTTTATATGTTATATTATTTAATTTATATTTTATATAACTTTTGGAAAAATGTATGGATCAATATTATTATTTTTTTATAATAAATATTTATATACCACTTTCATATGGCACGCTTTTTTTGTAAATTGGATCATACCCCTTTAACAAGGGGGGTCAACACTTTAAACATGCATATTGCTACTAAGATGTTTTCAATTTAATTTTTGAAAGTATTCCGAAAATACTGACACTTTTATATATATCTTAAATTAAAGTTTATGTAATATACTTTAATTTGAAAAAAAAGAATTTGACCTCTGGATTTGTCTTCATGTTAAAAATGACTACCGTATTCACAAATTCGCTATTTTTGTGTAAAAATTCTGGGTTTTGTATTTTATATCATTTTAAAATACTTGCCAAGGAGAGTACAGATTTTCATAAACATTATATAAATAAAATATTAATATAGCATAGAAAGTTAAACTTATTTGAATTTGTTTGCTTCTTTCAAGTCAAAGAAAATAACTTTGAAATTTGAATAAGCTAAATGGCCAATTTTTTCAGCCGACGGTATCAATGTACGATTGCCGAGTTGGTAAAACTTAGATTTTACACGCTTGGGGTTCGAAGTTTCAACCCGCGTATGGCACTGAACTTTTTGCATTTTTTCTTAATTTTTTTTAAGTTAGTATAAATTTTTAACTCGTTTGATTTTTATCTCATTTAGATTCAATAACTTCAATAAGAATCAAGGATCCCATCACTTTAGTCGCCCTTTGCAAGAAGAAATTTCTTATTTATATTAAAATTATTTTACTATATTTTAAGTTTTAGCTTCGGTGCAAAGCTGTGAAGATATTTTTTTGTGACTATCATTTATTTTCTCTGCTTTAACTTGACCTACTTTTTTAAACGATAAGTCAAATGACTACAGTTCGTATCTAGTTAGTGATATTACCCTCAAAAATTGAAAAAAATTCCAATTAAACAGTTACTAATCCCATGTTCTCCATACAGACAATTAAAATCATTCATTTCTAATGTTTTCAAAGTATTTATTGACGAATCAAGTTTGATATGATAATTTAATATGATAGGTTTCAACTACAAAATTAAATAATTTTACTTTGTAATTTAATAATTTTTTACTCTATTTGTGTGTTCGACTATTAGACTATAATATTCAACATTTTTTGGTATCATGTTGGTATATAAATCATTTCTAAAAAAAAATGATTGCTAGTTCTCCTGAATTAATAATGGATTTTTACAATTATAATCAAATTTTATATAACGCTATTGAGTAGATCTTTTTAAAAACTTTGTTTTGATTGGTTCATTTAGTTAAAATTAATTAATTTCTCAATATTTCAATTGTAGAATCTTTTCAAACAACAAAAGTTACTAGGAAATTATTACTATTACTTCTATTTAAGTTATCTATTACCATAAAAATGCAAAAAAATATTTGTTACTCTGATAAATTTATTATAAATAGTAATTGTAAAAAAATTTGACTGCATATTGATCTTAACGATACAATTTTTTTAATTGTCATAAAATTTTCTATTTAATGATGTCAATCTCAAACTTGCCAATTGAGCTAAAAGTTATGGTAAAATAAATTTTTTTTTTTTTTATTATAAACATTTACAACAATCAACTTTAAACGATTAAAAAAATAGGTTAAATATGTCATTTTCATTATTAGCTTTGATGCGAAGCGGAGAAGGTATTAATTTTACTATGATGTGTTTTTTTTTTTTGTATGCCTGTTGCCACTTTTTCTCAGCTCTCACTGGACCAATTTCTTTCAAAAATACGTCAAAAGATCACAAATCGTATCTAGTTGAAAATATAACCCTTATAAATTGAAAAAATTCCTTCGTTCCCCGCAAATGGGGGAAATATGCAAAAAAATTACAAATTTAAAAAACGCTAATTTTCGAAATTTTTTCACTTTTTTCTCAAAAAATATTTAATTTACAAAAAAAAGTTTCGTACAAAAGTTGTTTAAAAGACAATTTTAAACAAAAAAATTATTATATATTTTTTCATTTAAACAAATATTTTTCGAGTTACATTACATTTAATATGAGTACTAAAATTTTTTTCATTTTAAGGTTACTTTTTATCATGTTGCACTTACGTTTGACAAAATGATATAATGCATATGTGTGTATATATGAGTTTATTTATTTATAGTATCATTTAAGTGTAGTGTATATTAAGATATAACCGATTGAGTAGGTAATTGTTTTGACACTATATTGTTTAAATCCAACTAAACGCTAAATTGTACATTCCCAAACAACAATCATATTATGTCAATTGCCACCGGAATTTCTGGTAATCTTGTTCTTTTTCTTTGCCTTAATCCCAACTACTTTGGGTCGGTCACCCTTATCCTAAGATTCCACTTGACACGATCTCCCACATCTTCTACGCTCACATCAGCTGTCCTCAAATCGCATTCAATGGCATCCCTCCATCTCTTTTTTGGTCTTCCTCTATCTCTTCTTCCTTCAACATTCATTTCTATAACTGTTCTAACAGCTTCCGATTCTTCTCTCCTCATAGCATGACTAAACATCTAAGTCTATTTTCTGTTATCTTATCCACAATTGACGCAACACTTTTACTTCCTCTTATATGCTCGTTCCTTATCCTATCATCTCTAGTCACTCCACTCATCCAACTAAGCATTCTCATCTCTGCTACACTTATTCCTTGCTCTACTTTGTTATCAACCGTCCAACACTATGAACTATACATCATAGCTGGCCTCACAATTGCATACTGAATTTAAAAACTATAATTAGTACTTATTCATATATTATATTTTAAAATCAAAAAACTACTAATCAGGATATTATTAAAGAAATAAGAGTTAATGTTGCTTTTGGAATAATCCACCAATTTCTCTAAATGAAACACTATCTACAGATTTGCATCGAAGCGTTTCTTATGATAGTGATTTTAATCACTGTCAGATATCATCTATACTTGTCCCATCTATGCCTCGACCCCATTCTGCTACCGTTTTTTAAGTAATAAAACGTATTAAGGTTTGTGCGTAATTAAAAATATCTAATTGATTAAGATAAATTAAGGTATATTACAAATTATAAAGTTTATATATATGGATACCAAACTTCTAAGGTTGTGTTTTTTACATAGAAACTTTAGAATTTTTCCTTTTCAATTAAAATTAGTTTTTTGATAGCCTGACTCTGCACTAAAACACGTAGGGGGTTTCAAAACAAAATTTTTTTCACAGAATTTAATGTTTTCTAATTTACTTTTGAAAATGTTATTTCACGTACTAAAAAAAAATGTCCCGAGACTTTTCATCTATGTGAAAATGGCAGTCAAAGTTGAACTAAAAATAGAAGTAAATTTTGCTTTTGGAATATTCCACCAATTTCTTAAAATTTTAGACTTTCTGAAACTATTGAGAATTTTTTATTTTTTTATAAGAATAAAAAAAACTTCTAAAAACTCTATTTATAAAACAATTTATAATAATAGATTGTAAAAAATTGTTTTTTCATCCCTCCATGGTTAAAAAAGCTTAACTTTTATTTGCTTAAATGGAAATCCCTATTTTTAACTTGATATTATGATAGAAAAAAAATATACTCAACTTTGTTCTTATAAATGAAATTCTTGTTATGCGATCAATCGTTTATCTGTTACAGTTTGTTAAAGTTAAATGGTTTGAGACTAAATTTCTGTTTTTATTGTATACTATTTTGAATACATTATTTCTCTTTGGTGTAATATGAACTAAATTTTATTGTCCAAGTTATAACAAATATGATAGCAATACAAAAATACTACGTACTAAATGAGAGATAATAGTAATATGTTTAAATCGGGTGTTAACTATACTATATCTATTTTTTTGCATCACTTTCAAGTTTTTTCGACATATGATAATGTAATGTAATTATGTAAGCACTCATCATTAAATGCGACCAATAATTTGAAAATATTTTAAAACAACTAGTTACTGATATTGGCTATAAGGTGGCAACGCCACTAGCAGGTAAATAGTACAATAAATAGAGAACTAAATAAAAAATATATTTCAGAGAAACGTTTACATCAATATTTAAACTAACCATGAACAATAACATTAAAATGATTTTCGTAAGGATTTTCTAAATACAGGCACTGTTCATCTGTTATTTTCCCGTTTATTCCATCTTTACTAATAAAGAACCATTTTTCATTAGCAAAAACATAAATAGACGTTTTTAACATTTCAGCTGCAGCATATAACTCAGCTACACCGACAGAAATAACTAAAAAAGTTAACATTTTTTAATTTCAGTAATTTTAAAATTATTTTTAATTATAAAAAATGTATGTCGTATTTCATTGATTTTAACTATATGAAATTATAATTTTGTGTACTTATATTTTAGCTTACACTAGGCACACACGGACAAGATAAAATTATTTTTAATTATAAAAAATGTATGTCGTATTTCATTGATTTTAACTATATGAAATTATAATTTTGTGTACTTATATTTTAGCTTACACTAGGCACACACGGACAAGATAAAAATATTTTTAATTATTAATTAATATTACCGTTGTAAATTGAAGGATCACTTCGTTTTAGTACTATGTTTTCCTTATTAAACTCATAGTCTAGGTAGTTTTCAGACTGCTTCAAAAACTAAAAAAAACACAATAATAAATATATGCATTTTAGTTTGTATAACAAATTATTATTACTTTAACTAATTGAGATTTTATGCGTTGATAAAATACGACACTTCCAGTTATCCAGTAAGATATAGCTTTAACAAAATAATGCATGTCTCTTTCAATATATATAATGTTTAAATCTAAATTTGAACCATTTAGCTTTTCATTTGTGCGAATATTTTTTACGCAATTTACAATATATTTTGAATTTATTTTTAAAAGACTGGCCTTATTCAGCTGCCATTCCCAATCAACTGGATTGAAGTCTTTTATAGTTTTGATATTATTTAATTTATCCCACTTAAAAATCTAAAATTGAATAAAATATGCTCATAGAATAATATTGAAATAAATATTGAACATATTATTGTAAAAGTATAGTTTTAAATAGTTCGATAAATAATAGGCAATTCAATTAAATTTTTATTTGACAAAAATACTAATAACCAAAATACTAAAAGTAAAAAAAAAAGGATAAAATAAATAAAAAATTCAGAATACTTATTCAAATTCAAAAAGTTATTGAAAAATTGACCTTTGACACTTCTGTAAAATCCTGTAAGTAATTGTTAAAAGATATACATTAAGAAATTTATACACTTACTTTGTATGTAGATAATAGAGGATCCTAAAAAAACATAACTTTTATAAAAAAATTAGTTTTTAATTTTTTATATAATTTGAGTTCTGAGTCTACGTCTTACGGTAAATATATTTCAGGGCAATAAATGTATTTAACTTATTTGATTTTTGGATTACATTATATTATTTTACTTACTGTGTTAGTGTTTATTTGAATCTAAAAAATAATTTCATATAAATATTAATTTTTTTTATTCATAAATATTAGAGCACGGAAAAAAATTATTGTAAATAGTTGGAAAAATTATAGCTAATCAAATTCACATTTTCTTGATACAACTATAATAATACAAAACGGTAGCATAGTGTGGTCGTGTCACAGTTGGGTCCAGTATAGATGATATCTGACAGTGATTAAAATCACTATCATAAGAAACGCTACGATGCAAATCTGTAGATAATATATAATTTTAAGAAATTGGAGGAATATTTCAAAAGCAAAATTAACTCTTATTTCTTTTATTATTCCCAATTAGTATTTCTACAATTTATAAGTAAAATATATGAATATAAATCTATCATAGTAATTTAATGTAGTATGAAATTTAAATTTTTAATTTAATACTGTACATTTTATGGAGAAATTATAAAACATTATAAAGTAGTTATTATTATGGTAAACATGCATACAAATTTATGAGTTTGATACAAAACTTTTGCAAGATAATTTATTGTTAATTATGAATAAATGGCCTTGAGGAATTTTTATCAGAGTCAAAAATATACTACTCATAAGCAATTTTTCTTGATAATTTCAATTCTGCAATAAGATATTTTCATCATTAATTTTTCATATTATTACTAATAAGTTAAATACGAGTATCATATCAATAAATATAAGTTAATGAAATTCAACAGAAAGTTAGCGGACAAAATCATAGGTAAAATTAAGCACGGAATATTTCTGAATTTCAGTATATTAGAGAATACTGTACAATATGACTACACGGAATATAGTTTTAAATATTTCAATTTTAACAAGGATATGTTTTTAAAAATTAAATATCAATAATGACTTCCTAAATATTTTTTTTTAAATAAATTTTATAATGTGTAAATACTCGCTTTCTAATTAGTAACAATTCCAAATAAGAGATATTAGAAAAAATCTAATTGTAAACTTGAAATTAGCGTCAAAATGTGGTTAAGTAAAGTATATATTGGTCTATGATCATTAAAAAATTTCATTTTAATGATATTATTTTACTGGAGAAACAGTATAAAAACAAAATATATATTCCTTTTATTTTCCAGAATTTTAATTGAAAAAAGTTTTTTAATGTGGCCATTTTTTACAGTAGCATAATTCTATTTTTATTCATCTAAATTTCTAGAATTAAAAGTTTTTTCAAAGTTTGGTGATAATAAGTTTAACGAGATAAACAATGTGTTCTTTTGATGTATTGAACACAAAAAGAGTACCCTCAAAAATTAAAAAAAAATTCCTTGTTCCCCGTAAATGGGTGAAATCTCTCAAAAAATTACAATTTTAAAATTTTAAATTCGCCAATTTTCGAAATTTTTTCAATTTTAGCTTCGATGCAAAGCTGAGAAGGTATTGGTTTTACTATGATGTGTTTTTTTTTTTTTTTTTTTTGTGTCTGTTACCACTTTTTCTCAGCTCTCACCGAACGGATTTCTTTCAACGATACGTCAAAAGATCACAAATCGTATCTAGTCGAAGACATTACCCTTCAAAATTGAAAAAATTTCCCTCGTTCCCCGTAAATGGGGGAAACCTCCAAAAAAATTACAAATTTAAAAATCGCTAATTTTCGAAATTTTTTCAATTTTTTTTACTAAAAACTGCCGTAACTTTTTCAAAAATGAACATATCAATATAATTTTTTTTTATATAGATGCTTGATGTCTTTACCTATCATTTGGTATATTTTTTTTGTAAATCTGACACTTAACCTGCCCACAGGGGGGGATTTAAAATGACAACTTTTTCACAAAAAATTAACTTTTTCAACTTAACTTTTGAAAATGTTCCGGAAGGTCTGACACTTTTATATATATCTTAAATTAAAGCTAATGTAATATACTTTAATTTGAAAAAAAAAAATTTGACCTCTGGACTTGTCTTCGTGGTGAAAGTTGACATCAAAGTTAATAAAAAATTACGATTTTTGTAAAATAATTTTTTTTTATATTTTTAACTTAATAATGCTCTAACTTTTTCAAAAATGAACATATCAATATAATTTTTTTTTATATAGATGCTTGATGTCTTTACTTATCATTTGGTATATTTTTTTTGTAAATCTGACACTTAACCTGCCCACAGGGGGGGATTTAAAATGACAACTTTTTCACAAAAAATTAACTTTTTCAACTTAACTTTTGAAAATGTTCCGGAAGGTCTGACACTTTTATATATATCTTAAATTAAAGCTAATGTAATATACTTTAATTTGAAAAAAAAAAATTTGACCTCTGGACTTGTCTTCGTGGTGAAAGTTGACATCAAAGTTAATAAAAAATTACGATTTTTGTAAAATAATTTTTTTTTATATTTTTAACTTAATAATGCTCTAACTTTTTCAAAAATGAACATATCAATATAATTTTTTTTTATATAGATGCTTGATGTCTTTACTTATCATTTGGTATATTTTTTTTGTAAATCTGACACTTAACCTGCCCACAGGGGGGGATTTAAAATGACAACTTTTTCACAAAAAATTAACTTTTTCAACTTAACTTTTGAAAATGTTCCGGAAGGTCTGACACTTTTATATATATCTTAAATTAAAGCTAATGTAATATACTTTAATTTGAAAAAAAAAAATTTGACCTCTGGACTTGTCTTCGTGGTGAAAGTTGACATCAAAGTTAATAAAAAATTACGATTTTTGTAAAATAATTTTTTTTTATATTTTTAACTTAATAATGCTCTAACTTTTTCAAAAATGAACATATCAATATAATTTTTTTTTATATAGATGCTTGATGTCTTTACTTATCATTTGGTATATTTTTTTTGTAAATCTGACACTTAACCTGCCCACAGGGGGGGATTTAAAATGACAACTTTTTCACAAAAAATTTACTTTTTCAACATAACTTTTGAAAATGTTCCGGAAGGTCTGACACTTTTATATATATCTTAAATTAAAGCTAATGTAATATACTTTAATTTGAAAAAAAAAAATTTGACCTCTGGACTTGTCTTCACGGCGAAAATGGCTACCGAATGCTATTTTCGTGTGAAAATTCTCGATTTTATTATTTATATTATATTTAACTTTATAATGCTATAACTTATTGAAAAGTGTATGGATCCACACAATTTTTTTATGAGAAATAATATTTTTTAATAAACCCTTTTTCATTCGACATACTTTATCTTAATCAGGATATTAATAAGAAACCAGCAGATCAAGTAGCTTTTGGAATAAAACACCAATTTTTTTAAAATTAATCATTATCTAAAGATTTGCATCGAAGCGTTTATTTTTGATAGTGATTTTAATCACTGTCAGATATCATTATACTTGATCCAACTATGCCACGTCACCACTGTGCCGCCACCCCCCTTTTTTTACTTGAAACTGCCATAACTTTTTTAAAAATGACCAAATCAATATAAATTTTTTTATAGATGCATGATGTCATTACTTTTTACATGGTATTTTTTTTTATAATTCTGACCCTTTACCTGCCCACAGGGGGGGGGGATTTAAAATAACAACTTTTTCACGAAAAATAATTTTTTAAACTTGACTTTTGAAAATGTTCTGGAAAGTCTGACACTTTTATATATATTTTAAATTAAAGCTAATATAATATACTTTATTATGGAAAAATTAAATTTCGGACTTTATTTTGTCTTCACAGTGAAAACAGACAAAGTTAATAAAAAAAAATACGATATTTGTAAAAAATTTTTTTTTTACAGTTTCAACTTTATAATGCTACAACTTAATGAAAAGTGTATGGATCAACACAATTTTTTTACGAGAAATAATATTTATATCCCTTTTTCATTCGACATACTTTATCTTAATCAGGATATTAATAAGGAAATAGGAAATCATGTAGCTTTTGGAATAATTCACCAATGTTTTAAAAGTAAACACTATCTAAAGATTTGCATCCAAACGTTTTTTTTTATAGTAATTTTAATCACTGCCATACTTGATTCCACTATGCAGCGTCACCACTATGCCACGACCCACCTGTGCTGGGATTTTTTACGGTAGCCGTTTGCATGTAGAAGACAAGTAGTTTTAAAACAAATTTTTTTTTTTTGACTTATAATTCATAAGCTTTCATTTTTAAACATATGTTTTTCTGGAACATTTTCAAAACTTAAGTTGAAAAAGTTAATTTTTTTGCAAAAGCTGTTATTTTGAATCCCCCCATTTGTGCAAGTAAAGGGTCAGATTTCGATAAAAATTTTTGTTAAACGTATGAAAAATACCTAAGGAATTTATATATAAAAATTTGTATTAATTAATTAATTTTTAAAAAAGTTATAGTAGTTTTAAGAAAAAAAAGATTAAAGAAATGTCCAAAATTACCGATTTTTTAAATTTAAATTTTTTGGGGGGTTTTCACTATTTACGTAGAGCGAGGAGAAAATTATCAATTATTAAGGGTATGTTTTCGATTAGATACCATTTGTGATCTTTTGACATATTGTTGGGAAAAATTGATTCAGTAAGAGCTGAGAAAAAGTAGTGACAGTCGCATACACAAAAAAAAAAAAATAAACACATTATGGTAAAAATAATACCTTTTCTACTTCGCATTGAAGCTAAAAAATTAAATAAAATAATCACAATCTAGAATCAGAAATTTATAAAACATGTTCAAATTCAAAATGATATTTATTAGTTGATAGCAATTTTTCAAATTACATAATACTTAATAATACTTTTGTCAAAATTTGAAAAATACTCTACCTTTGACTTTTCTGTAAAATCCTGTAATTGATTGTTAATAAATTTCTTGTTAAATAGAATACATTAACAAAATGTATACACTTACTTTGTAGGCAGATAACAAAGAAGCCTAAAAAAACAAATGTCTTTTAAATAAAAATGATTTTCTTCGTCGTATAGAGATTGCATTTTTAAACGAAAGTTTATTTTACACGTTTAATTTTTGAATTAAATTTGGTTGGTTGAGTTTGTTTTAAATTTATCATTCAACAATATTTGGAGACATTTCATGCGTTATTTTACTTACTGTATTATTGTCCATATGACCCTTTAAAAAAAAAGTACAAATAAGTATTCATTTTTTCTTTTATAACTAATAGCGCAAAAAAAAATATTTTGTAAATAGTTCAAAAAATTATATTTAATCCAATCCCAATTTCACAATTTTCAAAAAAAAACGCCTTTTAGTTTCTACAAATATTCTGTATTATTATGTTTTGATTGTTACGGTTTTATTTTTGTTTGTGAATTTCGCTACAGATAGGTTCGCTAGTTTCTAATACAAACATAGAAAAATGTATATATATATATATATATATATATATTTTACATTACACAGCATCTTATTTTTATAATATTTATTGCTACATAATGAAAACAATTAACTATAAATAACTATTATATTTTATACATCAGTTCCACGATAGCCGTCGTTCGATACGCACGTGTGTACAGTGCGCTCTAAGTTACTGTCTTTTCGTACAACGTGTGTTTTCGTTCATTATTACTAAACTGGTTAATCAAGATGTGACTTGCCTATGTAACCACTCTACTTACTCTTCACTTTCAACTAAAGTCTTGTGCACAGCAACAAACGAAAAATTATCGTCTGGCTATTGTCATCGTTCTAGCTGTAATATTAGCAGCCCCAAGTCCATACGGTCTAATCGGCGGCCGCCTCGGCGGTCTCGTTATTATTAATTATAATGCATTACGCTACCGCATCCCACCGTCGTCTTCATTTGTTTTATTGGAATCGCGTTGTGATTGTTACTCCATTTATTTAGTAACTTAATAATAATAATTGCATTCTAGTCAAAAAGACTAGCATAAATAACATCAACAACAATAAGAATAATAATAAAGAAATTAGTATAACAAATAACACCGTATCCCCGTTAACAATTAGTAAAAATAAAGCCTTCAACTCGCCACTAGACACAAGTAATAATCAACCAGAAGCAGGATGGACTGTACAAAAATCTAAAATAAATCTCTCCAGTTCTACTAATTCAGAACCAAACTCTTCACGTGTACAATCTCCCAACCAAAACAAGTAAAAAAATATTCACTTCAGCAAATCGTTTTTTAAAAAAATTAAAAAATAGTAATTTAGTTTGGAGGTGTACGAACGTCGTACTCAGAGCGTATTAAGCTGTGTTATATTCGATGCAGACACTGTACATTACACGAATTGCTAGCTAAAAAGAACTATTTAATCTAGTTCAAAAGGTTACTTTTCTTAACATTGAAGAGGAAAAATTATCAAACTAGTTCAAATTTATATTTCATGTCAGTTAGATTCATGTAAATTTTATAAAAATTGGTCGACTCATTACTATGGCAAATCCTTGTTAAATATTTTTAAATAAATAACAAAATAACAAATTTGAACACAAAAATAGCATTTTAGCTTCTATGCGATTGGTTATTAGTATTGGTAATAGTTTTACTATGATGTGTTTTTTTTTTGTGTGTCTATTGCCAATTTTTTTCAGCACTCACTGGACCGATATTGATGAATACTATGACAAAAGATCACAAATCATATCTAGTCGAAGACATTACCCTCAACAATTTATTTAATAAATTTCAACTCGTCACTAGGCACAAGTAATAATCAACCAGAAGCAGGATGGGCTGTACAAAAATCTAAAAGAAATCTCTCCAGTTCTACTAATTCAGAATCAAATTCTCCACATGTACAACCTCCCAAAACAAGAAAAAAAATATTCACTTCAGCAAATCGTTTTGAAGCCTTCGCTTCAAACGAAGACCAACAGTCCAATCAGTTAAATTATCAATTCGATTTCCCGCTCAATGTTTCTACTGAAAACATTACTACTGACTTGCAGACCGAGTGTACTAATAATCCACCAATTAAATCCCCTCCTCCGATTTTTGTAAGAGGTGTCGAGGATTTTCCAGAAATATGTACAGTACTTATAGAACTAATCGGTGTTGAAAACTTTGTCTGCTAATCATCTGCAGATAGATTAAAAATTCAAACTAGCACTCCAGGTGTATATAGGTCACTGATACGGTATTTAAAGGAAGAAAAAGCCGAATACCACACCTATCAGCTACAACAAGATAAACCCGTCTGTGTCGTAATTCGCAACCTACATCCACCAATGCCAACTAGTCTTATAAAATCTGAATTAGAATTTCATAATTTTGAAGTTAAAAATATTACCAATGTTCTACACAAAACAAATAAGCACCCATTACCATCTTTTTTTGGTTGATCTAGAACCCAGCAACCAATCAAAATATATATACAAATTGACCTATCTATTACACACAAAAATTAAAGTAGAAGAACCTTTCAAAGTTAAAACTATAAGCCAATGTCTAAGTTGCCAAAATTACGGGCACACAAAAACGTACTGTGGCTACCTACCACGATGCGTTCGCTGCGGCGCCTGCCACCCATCATCTGCTTGTCCAAATCCACGCAATGCTCCACCAATATGCGCACTTTGCCAAGGGAACCACTCAGCTAGCTACAAAGGTTGAGCAGTATACAAGGGCCTCATCGACGTAAGAAACCTACCACAAGTAATCATTATTTTTTTGTCAGATAATATTAGAGATTAGTCACTAGTTGTAAAAGACAGCCACCCTACTCATGATGCTAACCCATACCCCACTCCATTCTATGCACAAGTCACGTCAGGCCATTCCTCAAATCAACAGCTGCCCCCACCGACAGCTGATATCAACAAAACAATAACAAATTTCTAGAGGACTCTAAATCTTTAATAAATCCATTAATATCCCTACTTACCAAAGTAATATCTAGTCTTTTAGATAATAAAAAATGAACAATGACATACACACAAGCAAATCCCTTTTAATATTACTATTCAACGCAAACGGTGTTAAAAATCATGTAATTGAAATCTAATCAGTACTACAAAACAAACGTATTTATATTGCATTAATTACTGAAACTCATCTCACTCAATACTCTAAGGTACATATTCCGGGTTACAGGTTACTGAAAGCCAATCATCCAGATAATACAGCTGACGGCGGAGTCGCCATACTAATTAAATCCACCATTAAATTCCAAATTCTTCATAATGTCTGTCAAAACTTCTTACAGTCCTGTGCTATTTGAATCAATATAAATAATATTCCTGTAACAATTCGGCACTATACTCACCTCCAAGACATTCTGTTACAATTGCTGACTTCAATAACTATTTTTGTACCTTTGGCAACAATAGTTGGAGGCGACTTTAACGCCAAACATCAAAGTTGGGGTTGTCGCACAAATAACATAAGTGGTCTTGTATTACGTGATGTCATATGTGCAAAAAAACTTAAAATACTTGCCCCCCAGGCCCTACTTACTTACCAACTTCTGCTCAAAAAAACCCAGATATACTTGACATATTTGTTTCAAAAATCACATCTAATTTATTTCACTCTACTGATAATATCTTAGACTTAAACTCGGACCACTCTTCTGTCATAATAAACACTTAACGATTATCCATTAACTCGCCCGGAACCTTCCAAACTTTTCAATGCCACAACTGATCGTTAACACCTCAAAATATTTATTATCTTTAACATTATATTGTCTTTTACGTGACTAGCTCCTAACAATAAATCTACTTTTTGCAGCTGTCTTAATCCCGGGTCAGCCAGCTCCACTTGTTCAGGAATACATACTCTTCCATTAATATTTTTAATAGTTAAACTGCCATTAGATTTGGATAAACTAAGCAATCACATTTTATTACATAATTATTTATTCGAGATGGCGTCTCAATTTGCACAGATGCTGTGATATGTTTTATAAACTCTCTAATACAAATTATAGTAAGAGATAAATTTAACCTGAGATCCAGAGTCTAATAATATACGACACTATTAATATTTATCATACTTATCGTGCACGTATAGAATCACTTTTGCACAATAGCATCTTAAACCTCTCTTCTAAAATTTCTATTAATTCCCTCGGTTCTACTACGTCACTTGTAATCGCGTTTGTTTCCCATGCTACTAATTTCATCCTACATAATTTTATCGTTATTGCTTGTATTATTAGTGAACCCCATGTATTTAGGTTATGGCCTGATCATCTATCCAGTTTTTGATTATTTTTATTTGTTTCTATTTCAATGGGACTCTGTACTTGTTGAAATTTTGTCCATACCTCTTCTATCTTTTGTGTTTTAATTTTAACTTGCATATGATTTTTTCTTCTTTAGGCTCTCTAACGAATTTTTCGTATTTTATATTGACTTAAACTGTATCGTTTGTATTCTACTTATCGCTAAACTTCTTAACTCAGACATCTCTAATTACTGAATGCCTCTATCTTATACTATATTATTTTCTCTATGACTTACTCTGATAACTGCTGTTAATGTTTTGATTGCTATTATACTATCATCTATTTACTTTACACACTGATATTATTACTACTATCTTTATTCTGCGCGCTAGCCACGAACTAAAATTTATTAAGGATAGCTGGTTTTTGTCGTAACACATAAAGTGTACTACAAAGTTGTGTATAATTCTACTCTTAGTAGAATTATTTAGTTAAATTGTTAATAAATCTTATTTAGTTAAATTGTTACTAATGCAATAAACAACAATAATTAAATGAAATTATAATTGTTGAAGTAAAATTTCTTTATAAAGGGTCTGAAAAAAGAAACAGATTATCGAGCGTCACAGCCGGCTAAGGTCGCATACGGTCGGCTCTTTTTACACTACTTGCTCCGGATTATCCATTAGCTAACTCTTTATAATTTTTTGTTTTGTTACACGGAATAAAACATATAGGGAGTAAAAAGATTTACCAACTTTAATTTCAACTTTGATTAATTGTTTTTCCAGAGCATTACTGCGATGCTTTCATTTATGAAGTAGACGCTTATAAATTACTTGATTTTTTTTATAATGAACTATTTCTTTATTAATATAAACACCTCGCACGCTATGACACAGCTTTCCGTCTGGTTAGCGGTATACTATACAAACAACTATGAAAAATTTAATTTTTGACACTAATGATCTGCATCTGAAGGAATATATTGGTCAGTAACTAACGAATAAAAACATCTTTTAGTTTTGATAAATTAACTGTATTATTACGATTTGATTTTTACAATTTTATTTTTTCCTATGAATATAAGCGCGCGTAGGTGCGTCAAAGTCTCAGATATCGTTTATGAATATTAACAACTTGACACGGCCCGCGTCGCTTTGTTATACACGATGCCCCGCGACTCATGCCACCTTTATCAGCCGTCGCCCTACTATGAGTATTTGACTGATCAACACCGCGTGCCGTACGCCAAGGTGCAAAGTCCAGCAAATGCCACACGGCCGACGACAACCCGCCGCAAATGGTGCGGGAGTCTTCTTCCCGTTGTGAAAGCGACAACGTCGACCAACCGAACCGGACCCGCGCACCGTCGCCTACAACGCTGCTAACCATTTTGTCGCCCAAGGATCACGCCGGTCACGGCGTCGTCGACGCCAGCGAAAATGCCGCGATATTATGCGAAAATTTTTATTATTGTGTTCATCTTTTCGGTTTGTTTTATTTTTTTGTTAAAATAACCTGTTGTTGCTCATTAATAAACAGCCAACGGGTCTTTACCCTCAAAACCAGTATCGACCACATTTTTAGGACGTAAGTCGTGTCAAACTAAAAGTCTATACTACACCACCCATTGCCTACTTAACATAACAATAAAACTTATTTAGCATAATATCGACCAATAACAATAATTATCTAGTAAAAATTAACCTAACTTATCAACGCACCTTAAAAAATTTCTTAGGGGACTTCTTGTTAAATAGACAACATTAAAAAAAATTATACACTTACTTTGTATGCACATAATAAAGAATCCTAAAAAAAATATGCCTCTAAAATAAAATTATTTATTACATTTTTTATGTAAATATGAACTATGATTTTTATCATATAGCGAATAATTTAAGATGATAAATTTATTTTACAAATTCCATTTTTGGAATAAATTATGTTAATTTTATCTTTTAAAAATATTTAAGGACATTTCATACGTTATTTTACTTACTGTGTTAATTTCCATTTGTTTCTAAAAATGAAATTAACAAATAAGTATAAATTTTTTCATGTCATGGTTAATAGTACTTAGAAAAAAAAATCGTAAATAGTTAAATAAATTATAGCTCATCAATAAAAATTTTGTTGGCACTATTTAAATAATATTGTTAGGATTACTTAATAAATGTAGCTGTCCCATATTAAGTTAAATCAGCCTAAGTTATCGACACGCATTGAAAAATTTTCCATAGGGGAATTTTTATTATATAGATCACATTAAGAAATTGTATACCCTTACTTTGTATGCAGATAATAGAGAATTCTAAAAATAAAACAAGTCTTTAAAATAAAAATTATTTATTCAATTTTTTATTTAAATGTGAATTCTGGTTCTTTGTCGTATAGCAAATATATTTTAAGATGATAAATTTGTTTTACAAATTCCATTTTTGGAATAAATTATGTTAATTTTATCTTTTAAAAATATTTAGAGACATTAATTACGTTATTTTACTTACTATATGACTGTCCATGTGATTCTAAACAAAAATTTACTTATTAGTAATAATTAATTTTCTTTATAGCTATTAGTGAATAGAATAAAATTATTGTTAATAGTTGGATAAATCATAACAATTTTTTTAAGGACTGTTATTATCATCTAATGAGAACTATTTAATAAATATAGTTATCTGATCTTTACAGGGGCGTATTCACATATATTCCGCCTATAGGCATTTTAAAATTTGTCGCCCTCCATTACGTTATAACGGAGAAGGCTCATTTTTATTTATTTTCGCCATAACACTAGTAATTTTGCCTCAAAAAAAAAGTGTTTAAAAATATTTTTCAAGCAAATCTATTTTTTTTAGTAAATCATAAAATAAATTGCTTGTAGCTATTTATATACATATCATAAATACATAATAAATGAAAACGATTATGATAGTTATAAGGACGTCAATATGTCTTAACAGCAATAAAAAAGTAACTCCCTTATTATAAATTTGTTGCCCTTCAATATTTGCCGCCCCTTAAAATACGCCGCTGTGATTTTTAATAATATATTAATCAAAGTTATGGACTCAGCTTGAAAATGTTTCAAAAAGGCACTTCTCTGTAAATATTACATCAAATGTATTATTACGTAATACATTAAATTTTACACTTTGTATGCTAATAATAGAGGACCCTAAAATACACATAATTTATTAAAAATAGATATATAAGTATCAATTTTTATTTTATAGTGCATAAAGAAAAATAAATTATTGTAAATAGTTGGATAAATTATAGCTGATAAAATAATTCAATAATGATCAAATACAATTAATCTATAGCCTACAAATAAAAATATCTTTTAGATTCGATAAATAGACTGTATATTTTTGTTTTGTTAATCCATAACTTAAAACTTGTCCACAGTAATTTTTTTCTGTTTTTATGCCATAGTTTGGTCGCAATAAACATCATAAATAAAATTATTATATTATATTGAATGCAAAAAAGGCCTAAGATCAAATGCCTTTTTAATTTTAAATGGTATTGTCTGAAATGATAGATATAACTTTTTTCTCAAAATACGAAATCTAAATCGTTTAATTTAAATATTTCACAGAACTAAGTATACCTGAGCAAAAATAGCTTTATTTGGTTTCTAAATAAAATTTTTTTGAGATTTTTATCACCTACTTTATAATTGTCATTTAACAAAGTATATACACAATACTTAAAGTAAATTAATCATGATATATAAGACAAGAACACTTGTATAAATTTGAAACCAATTTCAAAAATGTTTGGCTTGTTTCATTGTTTATGTACTAAATTTACAAAATCTGAAGAATAATATACCTTTGACTTTCTTTTAAAAGTCTGTAAATTATCATTATCAAATTTCCCATTAAATGAAACAATTAACAAAAAAATGTATACATACTTTGAACTGAGATAATAGAGGATCCTACAAAAAAAAAAATATTTTTTTTTTTTAATAAGAAATAATTAGCTAATTTTTTTAAAATAAATAAGATCTGTTATTTTTCGTTGTATAGTGAAAATATTTTAGGACGAAAAAAAGCTATTCATTTCTTTAATACAAAATTTATTACTAATTTTTATAATAATAACCTGGTTATTATAGTATGTAGGTGGCCGAAAAAAAATGTCATTAAAATATTTATAATAATTATTATTATTTGTGTATCAATCAAAAATAAATAATCATTAAAATTTATGTTTTATGTCAAATAGGATAAAGACATTGTCTTAGCTGAATGCAATGAATATGATATTCGATAACGACAGTACGATGTATTATTGAGTATGCTTAGTAAATCATAAATAAAAATTTCAAGTTAAAATTAGAATAGTTTTTTTTAATTATTTAAGGATTTTCTAATTGAATAATTCAATTTAATTATTAAATTTGAAAAGTTTCCCCGAGGTTTCAGTTTCCAATTGAATTTTAAATTTTCTAAAATTGCTACCTACTGTTATTTTACTAAAATATTATCTATATTACATATATATTTCGTCAGGCATACAACTTTGAAAGTCATATTTCACCAATCTTACAAAAGCGAATAACTTTTACAGTTATACATTTGTTGCTAAAGAAACGAGTTTAGTTTTTGATCATTAACATGATGATAAATGTACCATGTAATTTTTCTCTTAATTTATTAATATGCGTAAACAAATATTTTGAACACTTTATAAAAATAAATATATATTGAGAAAAGTACGATTTATGAGGTTTTGTATTATAACTGACCAATTTCTCGTATTTATTTAATAAAAATTCCTTTAAATCATTGCTAATGATTTATTAAATATATGCCATAAAATGAGTAAAGTTAATATACTTACATCAATTATTGTACCATCATCACTCTGAAAAATAATTTTTGTAATTTAGTTATTGAACAATTATACATAATGTTTGTATTTATAGTACAATTTAATAAGTAATTCTCCCCAACTGATATTTTCTCATCGATATACAGGGTGATTTTTTTATCATAACCCACTCAATTACTTGCAGAATAATAATAATTTAAACATTTTTTTTTATTATTATCTTTAGTTACACATTATTCTTGAATTTTTAACTATGTAATACTTTTTAAGTTCATCCCTTATGCCTTGGAAGGGGGTCAACTTTGTTTTTTTAAATGGTAACCATCAATATGTGATTGACCGCTGATAAAAATAATTAAACGAGTTCCATGCGACTCTTTAAAACGAATTATTATTATTCTATTCGCAATTAAAAACGCTCGCTCGAGTTTCGTTAATACCAAACTAAACGGTATAGTATCGTTTCATTTTCTTTTCTCTTTTTTATTTTGTGCTCTTTTGAAGCACCGCAAAGGTGTATACGCGCATACCTCCGCATACGCCAAAATTCGCCATGGCCGGGACGAGATAACTTCATTTCCACGTTGTGGAACGCTTTTTGTAACAAGTCTCCTGTAATTCGCAATCCAGCCGTAAACCAGGTCACTGCCATTTGTGGATCTACAGGTCGCATTTATTATGTTATTTTACACTACTATTAAATTATCAATTAATGTACCTATGTATATATTTTAGTACCGTTAAGTTTTACTAACATTAATTTTAGTGACATATTATGTTTGTATAATATNTTAATTTTAATGACATATTATGTTTGTATAATATGCTTATATAGAAATATTAATATATGAATACTCTCAACACCTTTCACAATTTTCTATATTATATTTGTCTATTCCTGACATTCCTGTAGTGTTCTCCTTTTCAATTTAAGTTAAAGGAACACTCAAACACAATATGAAAAAATAAAACATTGATNTTTAAAAAGTTATTTTTTAAATTAGTAAATTCTAATTTCTATTAATTTTAATATAATATACAAAGATAGATTATTATGGTTCACTAATTATTTTAATTAAAATTAATATAATTATTGGTTTAACGCATAAAAGAAGTGATTACTATGTAATTAAATACTGCTATTAAGCACAGGAGATACTAAATTATGAAAGCTATCATTTAAACGTAATAAATCTCAAGAGCTGCATTAAAATGTTTTATAACCAAAAGAGTGAATTTAAATTCTAAATTTTGATGATCTGCTTAATTGTATCATTTTAAAAATTGTTGAACAAGAAAAAATCAGTTTTCTACATTTATACTGATTTTTGGAAAAAACCTATAACATTGATTTAATGTATGTAATACATGCATTATAATATACGTATATACGTATATAGAGTGTTTATAAAGTAAAGAAACTATTATCTATTTTTCTCATTGTTTGTAACAGTTAACCTGTTTCCTTATTTACTTAACACTTTGTATATAACACTCGTTTTAAACATTGAGTTAAGATTTATTTTCTATTTATGAGCTAATATCCTTTAAACGATGGCAGATTATAGCTGAAGTTATTATAAAGTCAGTACATTTTGAAGAACATATACAACAAATTTCACTCTTATATACTAAGTTTTTAATAATCTATTTTATAGTCATTAACTGGTCTAGTTGTAGTCAATGATTTTTTTTTACGAATTGAATTTTAATATTAGTATGTAAAATTAATAGGTTTGTATTTATTTAAAATTTAATACTTTTAGCAATAAAATATAAACCTATTACATTGAAGATAACTTTAATATCCAGATAAATGTCTATAATTGAACAGTATTTTAATTGTTCTAGCATATTTAAATGTTAAAATCAAATTTTGCAAACCTAATAGAATGGCGGTAGATTATCAAAATTATTCAAAGTATTAAACAAAAAGAGTATCAATACTACAACTTTTGTTATATTTTAGTAATTATTCATTGACTTATTTAATTTTAAATCAATTTGTACCAAATTTTTTAAGAGTTAACATAATACATAATAATCCACCAAAAATTGTATAGAATTAAACAATATTTTTAAAAAAATTATTTTAAAATTTAGATTTTGTGAAATTAAAGATAATAATTTATAGTTTTTCACAATTAAGTCGATGATAAATTGATTAATTGTTAAATTAATATTGGCATAGAGCGGTGTGCTTGGAAACTTAGTTCCCTTTGTTAAAAAATATGCATTTCCAAATATTTTAAAGAATCATATTTTTTATTTATTAAATTTAAATAAATTGTTTAAGTTGAGGTAATTTTATGCAGCGAATAATCGTTATACATTGTTACCAGGAACGAGTGGTAGTAGAGGACCCGGTCCCATCGTTCAAAATTATGTTCTACAATAAGGCTTTATGGTGCTATAATCGTAATATTAATGAACTTTCCACATTTTATCTACTGAAATAATAACACATATTATAAATCGTAATTAATTATGTATGTAATTAGTTTAACAGTTAGATCGGTTAATTTAATTGAAACAACACAGGTATACATCTGATAGTAATTTTATAAAAAAAAACAATATTTTAGAAAATTTGATTTTTATAAAACCATTTAATTTTTAATTCGTTTTTTCGATACTTAAGTATGATTTATATACAAAAAGTGAATTTTGACAAATAATTAATAAATTAATTAATAAGGGAATAAGTTTAATAAAACGAATTTTACCTAGTAAACTAGAGATTTAAGTATTTTCCTAATATTTGTTTCAGTACATTATTGAAAATTTATAGAAAATATTTATGTCTAATTTCAAAAATATTTAATTAAAGTTTTTAATATATTTGGAACAAAGTATGATCAACGAGACTCGTTCGGGAGGTAATGTAGTGGCAGCCTTTGCTTGCAGTTGTGCGACACATCGAACGTGCTACAAGACGGATTCTCTTCGCACGTTCAAGAATTTACACGTATCTCATCCAAAAAATTATTTTTTGTTAAGTTAAAACGAAACAAAACAACCAGACGTTAATAAAAAAATAAATTTACAACTATTACTTTTTAGAATGCAACAAAACGTCTTCCATGCAATAGATTAGCGCCAATCACAGATAACTACTATTATATAAAAAAGTGGTTAAAGACTTATCACAATAAAAAAGAGTTTCTAAAAATTTTCATTGCGTGCTTAAGGCACGTCATACATAAAACTCACGAAAAATTAGCTAACACATTTTAAATAATTTATACATTACCAATCTTGAACGCCTAAAAAGATAGCACTAGATTTAGCCGGCGCCGTAAAAATATCTAAATTTACATTTTAATTATATGGTCATCCATGAGAGAATATTATACAAAAAACTTAACAAATGTAGCAGTGCACACAACACAAATATCGCTATGCTAGAAAATCAATACCAACCAGTTCCGGTGATTGCTAACCCAAACATACCATACATTACTAAAGAAAAATGTTAAAAGCCATCGTAATATACAAACGGCTCAATTGATATGAATTGAAATTAACAACAGTTTTATTATTTTAAATTAACAGTATATTAATAATATTATTAATTTAAAAGTAAAAAATTATAATGCAATTGACATTAAGAATATGACTGGGCGTCCCTACTTACATTAATAATAATAAAAAAACTAATTAATCAAAGTGATACAAAATTAACACATGCTATAAATATATTTAACTATGTATCAATCTAATCTAAGTTTTCAGTGGCACAACTTCAGTTCTATGTATGTGATATTAAAAACCAATATTTAAATGGGATGACAACTCGCTTTTCATATGCCTAATGGAAACAACTTTTGCACGACTTTAATCATTTATATAACCACAAGTATGGTAATTACACACGCGATATGATAAAAAATGTCACAGAACAGCTCCTGGCGACGTCGCCTTATCTAGTCAACCAGACCACATACAAGACACTAATAGAAAGCCGACAGTTACTGCCGTTCGTCTAACTGCCTATCCCACCTCGGTGTGTAATTCGTTGTGGCCATGATTTAATTTTTTATTGTTTTGTAATCTTTCAAATTTTAATTATTTATCTAGATTAATTATTAGATTATAATATTATCATAATTTAAGTTTTATCACCTGAGATTGTACTTGATAACTGCCACTTTCATCATTCTGGAACGACGATGAAGTTTCTAAGATGTATAAAGCAATGAAAAATGAATAGGTGAATAAAAACATGATTACATTAGATTTTACAGTTGAAAAAAATATTAAAAATAATGTGAAGTTTATATTTGAGTTTTATATACTATAGATTTGAAAATAGAAGTAAAATTTGTTTGTTTAAAAACATTTGTCCAACTCATTATTTGTAACCATTACCTATGATTTATGTGTTATAATATTAACATAAAATGATTGCGCATTTCAATTCAAATACACACGTTAATATCTTTTATAATAATTGTCGATAAAAATAATTTCTATGAATTATGACTCTGAAAACATTTAAAGATTTTTAAAATTAATTTCTAATTTTATCGATATTATATAAATATATAATATCGAATATAATAATATATAGGCCTTTTGAAAATTATGCGTGTAATAATTTTATTTCTTTGAAATTGAAACTATTTTGTGGCAAAAATATTCTACTTTTAAAAGTATTAATTTACAAAATATTAAAGTAAGAATAAACTTAGTTTTTTCAAAAATAGCATAGCATGTATATATAAAAACTAGTTTATGGGAGAAGTGGGTTTTGATAGTTGTGTTTTTTTACCCTACATTACAACTTTTTTATCGAATCAAAATATATGAAAAATATTGTAACATACTTTTTGTGTTCACCCCTCCGTCTTCCCATAAATGATCTCTACCTACGCATCTGTGTAAACATCTTGAATTTTTAGAAAGTTTTAAATTTAAATCTTATATCAGTTAAGCACTTCAACAAATTTTTTTAACTATTAAATTAAAGCTCAACAAATATTTATATTATTTACAAAAATACGTTCACTATTTTAGACTATTTTCGTTAAAAAAATGTATGATGGAACAGCTTATAATTATTAGATTCTGAAATATACAATGATAAATCAAAATACAATTAACTAATAAGATATTTATAGATTCAAGCAACAACAAAATTTAGTTTTAATGTTAAACTAATCTACAGTATATTATTCTCTTCAACAAATATTACTTATAAATGAAATAATTTTATACATTATAGTAAAAATTTAATTTTTTAACTTACATAATTCCATTTAAAACAAAAATAGTAAAAAATGCCATTATATTATTTTGTTTTGAATCAATCTTTTTCTGATTTCCTAATACTATATTTTACATATGATACTATTTTCTCATGCATCAAATTTTTACACTGCATTTAACAGTTATAAATTTTAGTATGTGTAGTATAGTTATATAGCCCGTTTAGCTGCGCTAATCAACTTATGATTTTTAATCATCGATTTGTTTATAAATAGTTAAGTACGGCATTACTATTTAACTATATGTAATTTAAATGCTTTTTATCAAAATTTCCGTAGTCTTTTAACTAAGATTTCATTTTTACGTAATGTTTTATTAAATTATATAAATTGTTTGAATGAAACGTGGCTAAATAATAAAATTTTCAATACAGAGTTCGGTTTTACTAACTATAATATATATATATAAAGTATTATTATTGATTAGTATAAAACAAGTATTTACCTATAAAAAATGTTTTTTTTTCCAAATTACTAATAATTTTGATTTTTAATATGTTATAAATAATCTGAACAAAATGGTAGTAAGGCACGTTGTTGCGAGTTTATAAATACACTAACTGACAATACAGAAAGTTGATCTATTGATAGTCATAATTGATAATAAAGAATCCGTGACTATGACAGCAATGTCATAAAAATCCAATTAGCTATCTGTATTTATAATCCCTTAAATATTATACATATATAGTATAAGGGATGCACTTATAGTGTTATATAATTAATAATTCAAGAATAATGTGTAACAAAAGATAATCGAAAATAAAAATGTTTAATTTATTATTATTCTGTAAGTAATTGAGTGGGCAATGATAAAAAAATCACTCTGTATACAATGTATTTTTTTTTTTTATAAGAACGTTTATTAGAAAATTTACAATCTATACAGCTATATGTACAATAAGTAAATATGTGAATAGGAATAAAATAGACAATGATATGGCGGTGAGGAGGAAGCTCACATTAGAGCCACCTGTGTATTATTAATTTTAAGTGGGTTAAATAATATTAAGAAGGTCTCTTGACCAGTTGCGTTTGAGGCGTCTGTTTGGATTGCCCGGAAGAATTGTTGAATGTAGCTGAGTAACGAGACGGTTTGGATGGGATTGCATTTTGGAATGTAGTCTTTTGTAATATATGTGTGCAGTTTTAGCTTCGATGCGAAGCTGAGAAGGTATTGGTTTTACTAAGATGTGTTTTTTTTTTTTTTGTGTCTGTGTCTGTTACCACTTTTTCTCAGCTCTCACCGAACCAATTTCTTTCAATGATACGTCAAAATATCACAAATTGTATCTAGTTGAAGACATTACCCTTAAAAATTGAAAAAAATTCCCTCGTTCCCCGTAAATGGGGGAAACCTCCAAAAAAATTACAAATTTAAAAATCGCTAATTTTCGAAATTTTTTCAATTTTTTTTACTTAAAAGTGCCATAACTTTTTCAAAAATAAACATATCAATATAATTCTTTTTTATATAGATGCATAATATCATTACCTTTCATTTGGTATATTTTTTTCATAAATTTAACCCTTAACATGCCCACAAGGGGGGATTTAAAATGACAACTTTTTCACAAAAAATTAATATTTTTAACTGAAATTTTGAAAATGTTCCGGAAGGTCTGACACTTTAATATATATCTTAAATTAAAGCTAATGTAATATACTTTATAATGGTAAAAAAAATTTTGGACTTTATTTTATCTTCATAGTGAAAACAGACATTAAACTTAATAAAAAAAATACAATTTTTGTAAAAAAATTCTTTTTTATATTTTTAACTTTATAATGCTATAACTTTTCGAAAGATGTATGGATCAATATAATTCTTTTTTTTTGTAGATGCATGATGTCTTTACCTATCATTTGGTATATTTTTTTTATAAATCTGACTTTTTACCTGCCTACAGAGGGAGATTCAAAATGACAACTTTTTCACAAAAAATTTACTTTTTCAACATAAATTTTGAAAGTGTTCCGGAAAGTCTGACACTTTTTTATATTAGTTATTAATTGCCAGTTCGACATCGGTTTTTGTTTTTAGTTTAATATTAAGATGGGAGTTCTTCGTCATGAGATTTCGGAATTTTGGTCAGTATATTTGATTTTGGGTGAAATTGTTTATACTAGAAGAAGTTTGGGCGTTTATTTGTAGCATGACTGGAGTATGGTCTGAGGCCGGGTCATTTAAGTTAGTGATTATTGTTAAGAAATGATTTGGCAGATTTGTTAGAGAGAAATAAAGTATATCTGGATGACGGTTTGCATGTGTTGGCCAGTATGTAGGCGCATCTGGAGCGAGTGCTTTAGCGTGTTTGGAGGACATGAAATTATAGAGTTAACGTCCTCTTGTATTGGTTGATCTGGCTCCCCATGTTGGGTGTTTGGCGTTAAAATCAGCTCCGATAATATAAGTGTGAGTAAAAATGTTGATAGTTCATTTTCAGGAAACTGACAACCTGGTGGGAGATAAGCAGAAGCGAAAGTAATTGGAATCGAATTTATAATTATAGAGGAGGCAATGATTTGTAGTTTGTTAGAGGTGAATGGTAGAAAAGGAGAATGAGATATTTTGTTGGAGATGAGTAGAGCGGCTCCTCCATGGGCAGTACCATCAGGGTGATCAGCTCTGAGCATTTCATACCCAAAGATTTTTAGAGAAGACGTTTTAGTAAAATGAGTTTCCGATATCATTACAAAATCTACTTTTTCTTCTGATAGAGTTAATTGTAGTTCGTTGATGTTATTTAGTATTCCATTGGCATTCCACAAGAGGATTGTGAGTAGGTGTGATTGTTGATTAACGGCCATTTTTAAGAAGTTGCTCGATGACAGTCGTGAGGAGTGAGATAAGTGGATTAATTAGCGTTTTTAGATCGGTAATAAAAGAAGATAAATGATTTGAAAAAATTTTCTCTGACGGCTGGTCTGATTTTGTCCACTTAGTTCGATTTTTTGCTGTGGTAGATTGAGTAGTTTTAGAGTGAGAAAGGGGTGGAAAATTTTGAGTGGTTAAGATTTTTTCTGAGTGAGTTTCATTTGAGTTTACGTTAAGTAAATAATTGGTTTTAATGTTTCAGTTGAGATGTGATTTTCTTTGCTTTAGTAATTCTTTATGAGACTGACAGCTCCTATAGTTTGCAGGATGGGAGCCTCCGCATAGGGCGTATTTGGCCGGTTCATTTCGGTTTTTTGTGCAAACAGAGGACTCATGATCTTCACCACAGCGAACACATCTGGGGTTGTGATTACAGTAACTAAGGGCTGGACTGGCAACGTTGGCATTGGGGTATTTCTTTTTTGGTGTGGGGGACTTCAATTTTTATTTTGGAATAGCAGAGGGAAGTGAGTTTGAATATTTCTTGATTCAGTTCAGCTTGCTCAAGGTCAACAAAAAAGAGGGGCAGCGGCGTTTTAGAAGATCTGTGGAGGACATTCGTTATGTTTTTGATTTGGTACCCTAGATTAGTTAGCTATTAGGCGATCTGATGCGTTTATTTTTATCGACTGTTTGCCAGTCATTTTCGCTATCCGAGAATTCAAAGAGCGATTAATCGGTAGACTGGGAAAATCTTGATTTAGATAAGACTAACGGTGAAATAGTTTTTTTTTTTTTGTAGTATTCATAGTTGAATTATTTTTTTAAGTTGTTGGGATAATTATAGTAGATAAGATGTTCGAGTAACTGACCTCGAACCGTCGGCGGTCGTTTGTTTTGTAGTAAGTTGTGAAACTGGTTTATTTTAGTGAGCGGTGTTTTGTGATAGGAAATAATTGCATAATACCTGATTTCTGTAGTGTAGACTCGTCTGTACGCTATCGATAGCTATAAATGCGGTTCGCTCGAAAGTAACAAACGTGTTGCTCAGTTGGGAGTCGAACACGAACTGACAATGTATTTTACGGTTGCATTTTTCAATTTTATTAAATAATGTGATTTTTGTTTATATTACTCAATTATCTCAAAAAAGGTATCACTGCATTTAATGAGATC